CGGCGCTATGTGTTGGCCGTCAAACGGCTTGAAAGCTGGCCGTATGATTGCATGTATTGTATAGACAGAACGCAAGAAAACAGTATCTATATGTAGCGACCTCATCAGGATGTGAATATGGCTCATTACGACTAGAATTTATATTCTATATGTGATTATTTCATCAGACACGTGTACGAAGATACGTATAGACACGTGTATGAAGATACGTATAAAGTGTGCTTTTGTTACTCTCATTTTAAATAAGACATGCAAAAAAAGTGTCTTTATACATTGTATATAACGGACATTGACAACCAGAAGTGCATTAAACACTTTTTATTTTGCGAATCACATTTATTCACCATAAAGGCGTAAGTCTGTAATGGACGACAGAAATTTTCACTCTCAGCCCTAGGGTATCTTAATCCACACAAACACAACTCAACGCGTTTGTAAGATCTTTGGCTAAAGTCAAGGGAACGTGTGAGTAGCAAGGCCAAGATACGCTAGGACTGGAAGCTAGTCCTAAGTCGTTAGTGTCATCGTGAGTTTACGCTGATTGTGGCAACTTAGGCCTAACATTTTTTGGTCTTGGCGAATTTTACTCGAATAAAAACGCGTGTGCGGGTGTATGAATGATGATTAGTTGAAAATTGATGGACAGAAATAATGCAAAAAAAATATATACGGTATATTTTGCTATCGCTAAATACACTTTGGAAAAAGAAGCAAAACTTTGGTTTTGCTCTGCACTTTTTTTTCAACCAACTGGTGCTGAGTCATTTTCAACTGGAGTGATACGTCATGATATAGACATAAATAGCGAACTAGACATGGACGAGATCGCTGTTATCCGCTCCTGAATCCTTTAAAAGTCGTCAGTAAAAAACCCGCCTTTTTTTCAGAAAAAAGTTTCAGTTTTGGGTCTGTATCGCTCGCAGTACATATTTCTTTTTAGGTTTTGGGCCCCGTCCATGTTCATCATGAACAACCAAATGAGAATTAGATTATTTTTGTCCAGAAGCACATGAGAGCTGTGATTATTTTTCCAAGTCAATATGTGTCGGGTATATAAACGTATTTTGTCGAAATAAAATGTCATGAGAAAGTTCCTATGTGCCAAATCCTGCACATTTCTCGCTGAATTAGCTATCTTCTCTTTGGGTTTGGAACGGTTCAATTTGCAAGAAGAAAGCAAAGTGTGTGTGTACACTCAGCAAAAATTCTCATTAGAAACACTGATTTTAAGCTTCACTCGATCTAATATCACGCAATTTTCGCAAACAATTTGAGAGGACAGTTTACTTTTTTGTTAAAAAGTGAAAATTATTTTAGGCGTATTCACTTTAATTTGCTTGAAACAATTGATTTCTGAACCAGAGAATTTTCCAGAACCAAAAAATAGATATCGTGGCTTACTCTTTTCTGTAAGTAGAATCGAAAGATGAAAAAAATCTTTTTATAATTCTAATTAGTCCACTTATGACTTTCCGTGAAATCTGATTTCTAGATCAGTTTGACACAGCATGTTAGAACATTAGATCTTGTAAAAAAACTTTGCTTGTTGGAAGAAATTTATGTGGTCTAAGTCGAATGGAAATGTACAGACGGTACACTCTTTAATAAAGTTCGGAAAGATACTGAGTCATGTCTACTCAAATGTGCGATTTAGACGTTATAATCGTTTTGTGCATGTTCACAACATATACTTCGTACGCGTGCAGAATGTGTACATATGTTCCTCAAGTATAAATCTTGTTCGGGCGTACTCCTGAATTGCATTATAAGCGTCTGCTTGTGATGCAAAACACAACCGTTTTAATTCAGTTGAATTTGCTCTTATTAAACTCATTTTCAAAAAAAGAAAACTTTTGTGATCTGCTTCAAGATATCACTTTAAGATTGACATACTTTATCTAAGGTTCCATGAGTGTGTTTTTATAGTTACGAAAAACTAACTTTAACTAAGATACATTTCATCATAAAAAATTCTATTGGAAGTCAATTTAGTTTCTTTCCTTTATATTAGACTCATTGATTCTCTGCACATTTTTCATACGTACGATATAGTTTCGAAAACTTATTCTTTCAATACTTATTAACGACTGAAAGAAATTAATGCCACTGATAACTAAAAAATTTTTTTGTGATGATAACCATGGCGTAAGTAAAGAAAGATATTTCAGATGTTCCATATTAAATTTTTCTACCGACTATTATGCAGCAGACATTTTGTTCGAAAACTTTCGACTCCATTTATAAATAGTAGATCTAAATTATATTATTTTAAAATAATATTTGAATTGAGAGTTTTTGGTACTATTATTATGCTAACATCTCATTTTCTTTATTACGTAGTACTTTTTTTATTTTGCAGATTGTGTAGTTTTTATTTTAAACAATGTCGGAGGGAACTTTGCATCATTATGCGGATATTAGAAGAAAAGTTTTATATAATTATTTTCCATTATTTTCGACAACAAATTTACTCGGTTTTAGTAGTCATGTTTTAGCACCTATCACATTTTCAAAGTACGTTCAACGAAAATTCATAAAACTGATTTTTCTTTAAAATATTTTTTTTCTATTTTTTAGAATTATTGGAAAAAATAATATTGTTATTGCAAATACCCTTTGGTTTGGCTCTCATCTTGGCGTCGGTTTGTATCTGTTTGGTTCGAAACATTTGGCAGCATCTTCGTCGCCGTTCGATCGCATACTATATAGGTAAAAATTAATTTATTTTCTCTTATTTCTTTCATCGTGTGTATTTTTTTGACTTCAAATATGTTTTAGTGTATTTGGATCTGCAATCTTTAATTTTGGTTCAGTATTATTAATGTCTATTGTTAGATCGATATATCCAAATGAAGAAAAACTACGTTTATTAGTTGGACTCTCAGCTTCTGCAACGTTATTAATTATCGGACAACGTTGGCTAAGTTACATCGATGATATATTTTCCACAATACGCTTTCGTTCAAATACCAGATCATAATATGAATTATGTTTGAAAAGAATAATATCATATAACTTTTTCAAAAGAAAAGTTAAAATATTTTCCGATATATCGTAGTTGTTTGTCTTCATTGTGATAATTTTCACACTTTTTAAAAATACATAGCTTTTTTGGTCAATTGTGTTTTTTCTCTCACAAATCTATCACGTGTCTTGTGTTTGTTATTAATAAAAAATATTGTCTGTGTATAGTTATTTAGTATGGTGTGCTGAGATTGATCTGATTTTATCTTAGCAATTTTTTCGTTATTCTCTCTAGAAATTGACGTCTTATAGGTCTCTTGTTATTATACTATTTATTCACTGTGTATTGGTAGTTTGCTCTTATTTTTAGAAAAATTTGTTTAAAAAACTATGATGAAAAGTTTTTTGTCCACTTTTTGTCGGTTTACTTTGTAGTCGAATATTTTTTTATGCTGTAATGGTATTTATTATTTTTTTTGTAAGATTCGAGTTTAAAAAAAATTTTTTTCGTTTGAACGTGCTTGTGATTTTTTGAATCTATTTATTTGTTCCGAATATTTTTCCGGCGTGTAATGGTAAAAATGTTTGAAGTTCTACGGTTCTTTTCTATCAAATGCAAAAAACTTTTTACAATTAGAATTAGATTTCTAAACTAAAATAGAATCATTAATATAAGCTATGCCATCACCAGGCTGCATAATTTTAAATTGTTTCCATTCGTCGTTCAAAAACGATGTATCACTGTCATCTCCACGACTCGTAGAAACTTTTTCAAAATATTGTTGTTGTTGTTGCTGTTGTTCTGATGAATTATTATTTTGAACAAGAATATTTTGTGAATGGTTATGTGTGTGCCTAGAAAATTTTGACTGGTCAAGTAAAACATTTGCATTTAGTGTCATAGAAGGTACGGTCTGAATGGGAACTGATTGTCGTTTCTGAAAATATTTAAATCTGTTTTGAATTTGATTAGTTTCTGTACTTTGTACTGTTGATGTTGTACGTTGGTGTTCAAATGAACAAAATGTTGGATGATGTTCTGTTTCATCTTCTACTTCTTCCTCGATTGCCTTCATTTGATTTTGATTGAGATGATAGGCGTGACTGTTATCAAAATCATCGTCTGTCGATGAAAATTCTGTTGATGTTAAACTACTATCTTGATTTATGGTATTTATCGATGTTGTAGTATTATTATTTTGAAAATTACTTATACTACGTAATTGTGGTAATGATAACATATGTACAGGTAATTGACGTTCTCGCATTAAAAATCTTGGTCCATTGTTTGTATTCAAAAAACGTTTTTGTCGATGTTGCTTTCGATACTTTTTACCCGATAGAATCCTTTTCTGATATTTACCGTTTTGATTATTTGTACGAGGAGCAGCTTCTATGGCATCTTCGGTATTTGTTGTTGATGCTTCATAATCACCACTACCGTCAGGAAATGTTTCACTCGATGTTGAATGCAAATCGATAAATAAATAACTGTTCATTTGTCTTGGATGAGCGTTTGGATGGAAACTTTGTAAGTCTTTTAGATATGCGTCCATTATCGATTGTTGAAAACGTTTTGATGGTAATGTTGCATTATTCATTAGATTCGATGTTGTTGCAGATGGATCCAACAAAACTGTATTGTTGTTTTGAACTGTATATGGCATGTTTGTTGGTGAAAAATGATTTCGTTGTTTTTGATCGATAGAAGACGAGGAAAATGACGATGTTAGAGAAGCTAAATGGGATTGATCGTTTTGTCTCGATGGTTTATCATGAATAAAACGCTTTACTTTTTCTTTAAATGAATAATGGTGATGAGAATATTTTGCTTTTTTTCGCTGATGTTTTCTATAGCAAAGATATAGGATAATAAATAAAAATATGATGAATAGTACACCAATAACAGACATTAGAGCGATAAATGATGGCTGTTGATAGAATGAATTCGTCACGACGGATTCATTTTCAGTGGCTTTCATCTGTTTTGAAAAAGAATTTGTAGCACTATTTCGTTGATTGAATTCTAGAAGAAATACAGTAATTACAAAAGGTGAATGTGCGGTGAGAGTTCCTACAAAAAAAATTTTGATGCCGTATCTCGCATTTTAAAAAAAGTTATGGCATTAATGCGTATCGATGCGCACTCGTGTCACGTCGATGCTATCCTTGATTCTCATAAACAATGTCGCACCGGTAAAAATCAACGGTACGTCACATACGTCGCATTGAATTTTCTCAATGTCTTGATTTTTCTATAAACAAATTTTGATGTCGCTTCGATAAAAACTTTTTGCCATTTTCTAGTTTCCCAAAATAGTGTCGCATTGATAAAAAATCGGTGCAACATGACCATGACAAGCATCGGTTTTAAAGCGTACCAGGGTACCTCTCTCACTACAAGAAAAACCTGAAGTGAAAAAGTTCAGATGAATTCCAAAATAGCCATGTAACTTACATAGTATAATTGATTTCAAACCAGGAAGCTGACTGACAAAATCGCTGATAAAAATCGCATTGAAGCAATCACATGCCACCAACCGCATTGGTGATCCCGAATTAATGGGAGAAAAAATTTCAATTTCAACACCGATAAGTACTAGGAGGTGGACCGTTACTAGTACTCCCTCTCCAGAAGACCATCTGATCTTCTATTTTGTCCGGCAAGCCGAGTTATAAAGGGTAGTCTTCTATTGCGGTCAAATTTTATCGCCCAGTAGTAGTACAACGCTAATCCCTCACATACTTGAAGGCCATCCCCTATTAGAAGTACATCTTGGCGAAATTTGTACTTGGCGAAAGGGTAACGATTCAAGCGTTATCGTTATCAATAACAAGTAACGGTTAACCCGTTCGGGATGGGTGACGTTTTAAAACGTCAAAAATCGGAATAAACCGTGTTTTCCAAAACTTTCTTTTGAAGAAACGTCCTTCAAAATTCGATCATAATCAAATTTCAAATACATCATCTTATGCAGTTTTTGACGCTCTATCTTTTGATGTATAATACATTTGAATAATATTTAGTTCTGAGTTAGAAATCTAAGTTTTTCCNTCAGTAAAAGAAGGTTTTGAGTACGAAGACAGAATCGAAAGTCAAAAATGTTTTTGTCAGTAGATAGCTCTTTAAATTCGCTATCGAGACATTGCCATTTGAATTTTTTTGTCGAAAATCTCTTGGTTAGGAAAAACGAAATACTGAAGATGCGTTTTTTCCGTTTTTTCAGGAAAATACTGTTTTCTACCTAGCTCCGCCAAAATAAGTTGAAACTTAACGATCTTTTCACATATGGTAGAGTTTAGTGATAGCTTTCTTTCGACGAAAGGATGAAGTCTCTATCTGTCAGGGAAGCCAAGATATTGCAAAATAAAAAAGGTCTTAAACTTTTGAACAGCACTGTATGTATAAAAATTAAACCGGTCCTGAAAGGGTTAAATCAAATAGTAAGCATAACTTTCAAGTCTGTCTAAGATGAATTCTAAAATGTTAATTCCGAGTATTACTCATATATATAATTCATATCTATCTATTTATTACTTGTTAATCGCTATTGTTTGTTTGTTTGTTATTACTATTGATATTCACAGACGAAATAAAATATAGATCTTACTATTCATCCCAAAATAAAATGCATTCGGATATTTTCAAATAACTCAAAGGCAACAAATAACAGAAACTTGCGGTCTTCGCCAATCGAAAAAGGGCACTTGAGACTATATTTCTGTAAGCAAAATCTTCTTTCAAAAACATTCGATAGACCGATTTTTCTGAAACGTATGAAAACATAGTTTATCGACTATGCCGAACCTCGTGGCAACATTTGTTTTTCAAAAAAGTTTCCAAAACCTAGTGAAAACGTTTATTAAATGAAATATCCCATTTTTGTCTATTTTTGAGTAAAATCAAAAAATTCATACTGAGTCAAGATCCATCCAAATTATATCAGAATATCAACACATACTCTATTTTACCTGCTCAATACTATGCAGTTCAATAAAAGCTTTAAAAATCAACAGAAAAAACTTTGGTTTTTGAAAAAGTTTTCTAGACATTTTTCGAATGTTTTTTTACTATTTTCAAGTAAGACATCCTGTGGAGCAGGTAAAATAGAGTACATGTTGATATTCTGACATAATTTTGAGTTATTCGAAAACAACCGAGTACATTATATTTTGGGATGGATAGTAGTTATGAACTATGAGAGAAAACAGAAAAATTTGTAATAAATTGTCAAACTCTACAGGGCAGTTCACGTTAAAGAAGTCAATCTTTACTAGCTAAAATAAGCGATAGAATCTATTATTTCAGGAGAGAAAGCGTATCAGTGTTTGATAGTCACATATAATCAAACCGTTACCATTACAAGTAACGGCCGTTATCCGTAACAGTAACGCTTGAATCATTACCCTTTACTAGTAACGGGTAACACAAATTCATTATCGTTACAATAATGGTAACGGGTAACGGTCCATCCTCTAATAATGATGCATGCTAAAGCGATGTCGTTAAAAATTAATTTGTAGAAGTTGATGATACCTTCGACTAGAGAATCTCATTCATAAAACTTTGAAAACAAATAAGATCATTTCTTACTTTGAAATAAATATTCAATAGTAAATGAATCATTTTGTGTATTGTTTTGTACAGGTATTAATTCTGCTAATGCACTTGAACGATTTACATGTAGTTCTACATAATTTGTTGGCATCAATAAAGAATTGTATAGTGACTCATCTTTGTTTGTATTTCCTCCATAAACATTAAACGTATATACGTATGGATTAAGATTTGTTAAATTAATTAAACGTAAAATAATCACATATCCAAAATCATAGAAAAAATACCATCGTCTTACACCTGAACAATTGTGTGCAGTATGAATAACTAATGAACCGATGAGATTGTTAACAAATACTGGTAATTGACTACAATCACCATTTTCTAACTTACTATCCTTAATTGACATCTTTCTATATCTAGAACAGGAGACGAAGAGTGTTATTTTTTCAAAAAAAGAACTACAATTTCAATGATTTAAAGACATACTTCACATACCTTGAACAGATTATATATATTTTTTTAACACATTAATCGAAAGAAGTGTATGTATTTCATTAAATGTCGTTAATCGAAAAAAAATAAAATAAAAGAAAGACGTTGTCATTGATAAACAATCCATTTTCTTTTTTATGATGTCAATCAATTATTTAATGAATATGAAGTTAATAGAAGAAAATAGAAGTATGTATAGCCAAGGGTTATACTTCACAAACAGTGGAATTAAATACCTTTTTCTTTTTTTTTTACAGGAAATATCGACAATTGACACCGTAAATCGAATTGATTTATGAAATTATATGTGTAAACGATAATTTCATAAAATGATGAAGAGAAAATCTATTATTTTAAATATTTTTTAGTTTTAATTATAGTCCTATCAAAATTGTTATTTTAAAAATGTCAAAAAAATACACAAAAACATTAACTATATTTTTTCATTTATTATTTATTAATAAAAACGTTATCCTTTTGTTTTAAATTGGTTTAATAATATAATTATACTCGACTATCTGTCTCTATATTTTATTATCAACATCAGTATATGTTCCAAAAAAAGAAAAACTGACACACTTGTAAGTAGTATAAAAGTGCCAAATTGAAACGAGAGAAAAAATACGAAGCACTCTACAGTAGTTATTCAAGACACATTCTTCTATTTACATTTTTCATTTCTTTTTTTTAAAAAAAACCTCTTCTCTTCTCTACTTTGAACATCACCATACTTTAAACAGGTCATTTTATTATTATTAGTGCCTGTAATTCCATTCCTATATTCCAGTTTCAAAGACATTATTTAAACGAAGGTTAATACGAATCACGAAAGAAAGAATTCAACCATATTCTATGTACATATATATATATAGAGTAGCAGTCTCTGAATAAGATACATAACTTAGCAGATGAAATCAAATTATTCCGGTTGATAGACAAGAGAAACAAGAGGATACATTTAAATAAAATAAGCATCATACCGAATAAGCAAAAGATTAAACTAAGACGATGTTAAAAGTATTTTCATTGTTGTTAGACTCACTTCTAGTTGTTTCAAAATTGTTTGTTTATAACTACTTGTTGAAAATCAGTTGCATCAGTAGGTATAATAGTTGTTTATGTCTCATAACTATAAAGTATTATACAATATAATCAAAATTTCCCATTGTAAGTCTTTTTTTTCTTCAAAAAAATAATTTTAATTTATACAAAAGCCATGCATACATAGGTGTATCTCTACATGCCACTTATCATAGAAGATCGAAATTGTCATATGAATTTTTTCGATGAAGAAAAAAATGTTAAATTACGTGAGGAGTTCGTATAATAGAACGAACTATGTGACTTATTTGTATTATATGTGCCAGTGATTTTGAAGTGTATTTCTTTTCTTCATACATATATCTAAGCATATACTTATTAAAGTTGAAATAAGGTTTCATTTTAAAAGATCTGAATGTTGAATTGAACATACAAAAAAGAAAAGTAATCGATTGAACTCTTATTGATGAACGTATCAATTTTTTTCTTGCTTCATATTGAAATATACATTAACTTTGGTATTCTAGAAATTTTTTTTATTATATGAAGCTATTTAAACTTTCTTTATAAAAAAAACACATACAATTAAATTTATAAGTTTAGATGGAAGCTCAATTGAATAGCAAGAGCTCGTCTACATCAACATACTTTTAGAAAAATAAACTATAAAATTTTACGTTAGAACTGAAAAGCTTGTTTAAGGGGACTTCCTTCCCTCAGAAAATCGATATTCTCAAAGGTGAAGTAAACATATGATCGAGTAGTTTTGATATTCCTCTGCCAGGATCAACTTTTATTTTCGAAAAATTCGATGCTTTAGTGGTCTTGAAAAACCTTTCTAGAAACCTTAAAAAAAAGAAGCGATTTTTTAAAATTTAAACTTCAATTGAATTTTTTTTAGATGTGTGCTTGTGTAGAATCTTTGTGTGTCGCGAATAAATAAAATTACGATATTATATAATTCATTCATTTTTGTTACGATTAAAGATGTTGCAGGTTTTAGAAAGAGTATGTGTTCAAGTGTAAGGGCACTGATGAGTTTAGAACTGGTTTTTGAAAGTTAAAAGTTGAGAAAATTTCTAAAAAAGTTGATACCCTAGTTATAACTATCAACTCGGGTTGATCGGTATAACTGCGGTTGAACGAGTTACAACTCCAAATCCGTAGAGTGATAACCATTCCAACTCCAGTTATTATTAGTAGTAATATCCGTTACCTTCCGATGTAGGGTGAGACACAAAAAAAGAAGTACACAAACAATTTAAAAAGTAATGCAGTTTCTTTCAGCGTGTGTAATGCTAGATCATCAGGAACAAGAATTCTGATCTTTGTCGGACTGATAACCTCCAGATGGTTTAATTAACAGTCTTCATTTATACACAGAAATATTTGCACCTGGTTGTACTCTATCGTTACTTCATCTTCATTTAGTTTTCCTTACACCAGAACTTGGCACACGATCTTACATGATCAGTGATTTTGACAACTACTGTAGAATGTCTTAATCCTATTTTCCAGAACCACTATCAAACGCCAGATTTCGCTTCCATAGAGAAGGACTGGTAATACACAGGCTCTTAAAATACGTAACTTCGCTGCTACAGACATCTTCTTTCTATACCATATCACGTGTCTGAGCATATTGAATGCAGTCGCAGCCTTAGACAGACGTAGGTTTATCTCATTCTCAAGTTTTTGATCGTTTGACATAAGGCACCCTAAATAAATAAATGAATTCCCTGCTTCAACGATCTCATTTCGGATGACGACATCAGCGTACGAATGATCAACCAATTGATTTCTTTAAACTTTTCCACTGCCGTCTTCTTCCAACTGTAACTGTGCCATTGTACAAGTCTTTTTTACGCTCATTGCCAGCTCATAAGCTTGAGTGACTTTTTCAAACACCTGAATGAATTTTTCCAAATCCTGCATGCTATTACACATAGCCACTAAATCATCCGCATACATTAGAGCTAGTACTTCGAAATCTTCATATTTCTCCTTGGCACCATGATGGAAATCATTACTTCCATAGGCCAAATGAATGCCAGACACACCTGCTTCAATCAGGATCTGTCTAATAATGAAGTCAAAAACGATACAGGAGATGATATTCCTCTCTGCGTCACTCCATTATCTATAAGGAAGCTCTCAGAGAACTCTCCGTTGATTCTGACTTTGGCTCTTGAATTTTGGTATAACAATTTCAAGAGTCTAACGACCTTATCCGTTAAACCATAATGTTTATACAGTTTCCATAGGAGCTCTCTGTTCACACTGTCGTGGGCTTTCTTAATATCCACAAAACAGAGAAATAGGGGTTTGTTGTATTCTCTGGATTTTTCCATCACTGTTTTGACGATGAAAACTTGGTCCATAGTTGATCTGTTAGGATTGTTGTTCTAGAAGTTGATGGTCGATGTGGCCGGAAATGCGATTGAGTATAACGCGAGAGAAGAGCTCACTCATCACTACGAGAACTCTAGTTATAACTGCATCAGTTTTAATAACGACTACCACCCCAAAATAAAATTATGAAAGCTCATTTCAGTTTGTATTATGGCACAGTTATAACTAAGTTCAAATAGCTAACTCTCTCAACTACAGTTATATCAATCAACTCGAGTTGATAGTTATAACTGTGGTTCATAGTTATAACTATTGTAAATTTTTGAGTAAAAGTTAAATTAGTTATAAAATTAGTTAAATTAGCGATAATGACAAATATTTTGTCGAAACGTCGATTAAATAAATAAATAGTTATAACTAATTTCAACTCCATCTAGTTATAACTCAGGTAGTTTTAAACTCATCAGTGAGTAAGGGCATCGTTTACTAGAGCATTCAAGTCATTTTCCACGATAGTGCGTATTTACTGGTAATACTGGCACTCCAAGAAGAAATGCTATACTGTTTTCAGCCTTCCACAAGCACACTGACAGCTACTAACTAAGTTCTTTTATATAGGTGATCATTCAAACAAGAAAAATTTACTCGCATTTGATTAAGAATCATGTCATATTTTCTTTCAATGTTTTTCAATCTCGGCTATTTATAGCAAGGAAAAAAATAATCGTTTATTGCAGAACGGAATTTTCTTAAAGCTGAACTTGTAGTAATAGCAGTATGATCTACCGGCCAAGAAAAAAAAGTGCTTCCTTTCGTGGTTTTTAGACGTTTTTTTTCGGCAATTTTTCCTTGCCTTAAATACACTGCACTGCATCTATTCAAATCACTACTGTATTCTAAGTGTATTTTCAAAAGCCAGTGTTCAAATTTATTTTGAATTGATAATTATTGATTACAATTCTTTTGCAGTGTATTTAAGGCAAGGAAAAACTGCCGAAAAAAAACGTCTAAGGTCTTAGCAACAACATTCATAGGCAGAACCCCAGACAGAAAAACGGGCAAATCCTTTTTCTTTGCTTTTGCAAGTTTCACTGAAAATCAACGTATTCCAAAGCCAATTAGGTTAGAAATGATGGAGAATTCGATGGAGATACTTTCAAGGATCCTTCACTCGACTCTAGAAGATAGAGGTCTAGTCAAATCTCGTTCTCAGTTCCTTTCGAGTCGTCTTTCTTTACTATTTCTTTTCTTTATTTCCATTTAGTCACACGACAGTTAGTTTTCTTTAAGTGCCCCCCACCCCTCAAAAAAAGCATTTTTCGACAAAAAAATCGATTTAGATATTTATGCATAGTTGTATAGCCCAATATATCTGCTTTCGAATGCACTATGATTTATTGGTTTTACGATGGTTTTTGAGGGTTTTACAGCGGTTTTTCTGAGGCACCCAACATCAAAAACTGATTGATTTTTTAT